GTTGAAAGTGAGTATATTCTAGCAAACTCACCCACCAGTGTTGGTGTACATTCTTCGTTACTTCCAAGGAATACCAGTATCACGCCCCAACGATTGTTGCAGTAGACGTTGTCAATTTGAGTTGGCTCCATGTCAGTGACTTTTTCGTAAGAAATCCATTCAAGTCTTAAGTATTCACTTTCATTTTCCAAGGAGGATTGAATCAGGTTGTCAATTGCTGGATTGTTACAACTTGGAACTAGCGACATCGTTTGAATAAAAGTTTTTCAAGTGCAATCACATTTTCAACGTTTATTGTGTTACCATCACTCCAAAGAGTACGCCAATAGAATTACATTTTATAAGATTGACTCGACCATGATTTTTTTTTCGTCTTATACACAATAGGTTTACAAGTTTAGCATATAGTTAATTCTATTATTGATCCAACAAAGAAAACAAAAAAAAGACGATCAACTTGTCAATTAATCATATACCCGTCGTTTCCGCACCGTAAATTAGACAATTTTGAAAACAACAATATTCCTCTATTGTGAATTTAACATTTATTTCTGAACTGCATTTTTGTACAGTACAATTCATTCGTGTTTGCCAGGATTTTCTCCTGTCTGCTTACCTTGCCTTGTAAGTACCACAACTTTGGCGGTACGATTGAGGGATATTCGACAAAGCACCTCCCCTTCATGTCCGGACCATCTTTTTATTTATGTTAGTCCCACAATAGCTAATAGATAATTAGTAAAAAGTGCGTACCAACTTCTTCTTGAAATCTTGCATTGTATCGAATAGCAAAATATTCTAACGATTCACGTCAGCTTGGAAAAACCATTGACACCCATAATAAATGTATTCAGTATCGTCGTTTTCCTATTCATGTTTCGTAGCATTTCTATTTCTTTAGTCGACATTATCTAAAAATTAATAATACATATACTCAATTATGTCCATATTGCAGTCGGGCATCTGATAATAATTGAGATTGATAATTCTAATATTTGGCATAATGTATTAATAAAATGTTATCGTGGACGTTGAGTTGACGGTTTATTAGTGAGAAAAAATTTTGACTAACCGGCATTCCAACAAAGTAGCGCTGGACTAGTCGCAATAAGGTGAGTTCGTTACCAGAACGTCTATTCTTCGTGTAACATTATATGAGTACCATTTTTCTAAAGCATTATTACACTAACCTTTCCTGGATATAAATTGCTGATCAAAGACTGCTGGCAAAAGTAAATCGAAAATACGCTTTTTATCGCTGCGCAATATACCTTGTTTGATTGCACGCACGCCCCTCTCGCCATGAAATTGGAAAAGACGAGTGAATATAAATGCGTTTCAGATAACGTTAAAAGCTTTTTACAGAAGATAAGTTTGGAGACTGAATGTTGCTTCAATCATCGTCTATGATATACATCAAAGTATTTCTTTCGTCAAAGTCATTTGCTTTCTCTTCTTTCCCATAGCCTTAAAGTCCACTAATCGCTAAGACAAAACATGCTATTCGAAACTCTTAATACTCATTCAAATGCCGAAAGTGAGAGTGCAGTTTGTGATCAAGTACAAAGATGAGGAGCTCTTTCTTGTCGGCTTTAACGAACACGTACAGATTTTCTCGCTTCGTAATTTATCAGTGTGCTCAAGTCGATTCGACGTGTATTTAAATTTATTCAGACGTAAGAGCAGACTTGGAAATCGCGGGTCGGTTCACGAACGGATGATGGCATACTAAAGAATACTTTCTTCGGTCCCACGACATTTGAAAAGACTTTAACCCAATAACAACAAACGCTTTATAGATATTATTGGTGTTGCAAGCAAATATAGTATCGAGATTCTTGGTGGATTCTTGGCGGCAAGAAATGCATTCCAAAGTTGGTCCTTCGCTGCGGGATTTTATTTCACTTGGGCGATCGTGCATCTATTATAGTTTATGCCTCCAAGACCCACAAGTGCTAAAAGGCCAAGTTACAGAATTATTATTTTTTACGGTTTTAATTTGTTTTCGGGAAGGCAGAATGCAATAAATACCTCCTAGTCCCCATCGTACCACTGATACTTTCGTAGTCACCATTGATCTTGGCAATGTCTCTGCGTAAAATCCATTGACGTTAGACTACTTGCGAATTAGCATGATGAATGACGTAACGGAAGAAGATTGCAAACCTACTTTCAAGAAGCGGAGCCCAAGTTTCATCTTGCTTGGATTTGTTACAAAACACGACAATTAATCCAAAGTACATGAACAACAATCTCGAATTGTCGTAGGACAACAAGTAATCATCAACTATAGTAGCCTTTGTAGAATACAAAGCCTACGTGAATGTTGGTTTAATCATTATTTCAAATTATTAATTGAGATGGAAATTTCCAATTCTATACCTTGGCTTGATCGTTAACTTCGACAGCAACTGATTGGACGAGGCCGGGAACATCGGCGGCGGCAGCGAGAAACCATCAATCACCAAGTGCACCTTTTTTTGATAAAATTATCACGTGTGAACAAGTTACGCGCGTAAAATGGGAGAAACAAGTATATGCGCAACCGACCTTGCGCGACATCACCCGGCGAAGCTCCGTCGGCGTAGAATTTCGATTGTGGGTCTGCCTCACTAAGACACTGGATCACCCCATATGTGTACGGATGAGATGGATCTTTCGTAGGGATCACGTTATTCTGGTAAAGCGTAGCCTTGGGATACTTTCTAATACTCCATTCTTCGTCTGTAAACAGGCTTCCCTTTATCGCAGCAACTTTCTAAAAATTTGGAATAAATTTCGCGTACGCATTACTCTTTGTCAGAAAGTTCGATCATAGTAAATAAAAGAAATAAAAATGGTTAAACGTACGGCTTTAAGTTTGTCGGTTTTTCCACTTGGTCTTGAGGGACATCGTATGGTAGTGCCATTTCTGATAATGCTCGCTTACAATTCGTTAATAGACTGTTAAAACCTAAAGAAGAGGTTTGGGTTGATCCCGAAGCAACATACTCGAACACAGACTTTCTTAATGCATCGGCGAACGCATTAATATCGACCAACCTTTCAACTGATGAAAGTAGTCATGTTCGGATCCGTTTTCAGCTCGAACATCGCCTCTTTATATCTTTTGAAATGAGAAAGCTGTGCTGGATTTGATATTACACCATGTTTCAACAATCAGTGTTATGGAATCAATCGAACTGCGAGTCGCTCGCATATCTCTTTCTGCATTCACTGTGGCGGTGTAAATAGAAACGGTTGGGAAACAAGAATTATACGAGTTTCCTTAGAATGTCCACTGCCGTGTCCCTTGGCATGCTTTTTTTTTTCTTCGATAAATATTTTTGGTAATAATTAATCAATGCGAAACAGGACGATTTCCTAAGATGTCCATTGCTGTGTGTTCTTGTCTTCCTGTTCGATAAAATTAGGTTGAAACAATAAACAACTGGTTACTGGAGTAACCAAAATAGGGTTAATTATACACATCAACAACACAATGGTTACCATATTATTAATGGTCTTAGCATTAACGCACGCAAAGTCTTCATCAGCGGTTGAAAACTTATTCATCCATTCACATATTCCATAGTAATTGCGCAACTCTAATATATAATCTATACACACTTTTCAGTCGGTTCTGTTGCATTTGCGACCGATTAATTCTTCGATGGTCAAGCAAATGTGAAATCAGTAAGGCGCGAATGTTGAGTGTTCAGGTAGTACAGAATGGTATGAGTTGGTGCACTATATTCTGCATATAACTCGCAGATTGCAGAAATAGAAATCGCAATTAATTACTGGGTTACATACTCGGAACCAAGAAAAAGCTCGCATTGGGCACTTATGAAGATCATTGTATCTTGATCATCAATGATAGCCGGCCTTTCAGTTTTGCGTTCGACGAGACCTCGGCAACACGTATTTGTAATGGGGCTGCCGACTAGTATGTTGATTCAACTTGAGGTGTGTGGTGACGTCGATCTGACTGATGTAGAAGAAAAGAGACTGTAAGCGTAGTTGAAATGATTAGATTAAATCAATATGAGAATTAAATAGAATATGTTTTGGCAATGTTTAATTAAACATAATAATTGTAGCAAAAGTAAAAAATCTTACATTGCTATTATATTTGTCGGTTTGTAGGAAACTCCCGTTAACCCCACCTCCCCGTCGGGATCGGACAGATCGAATTGACGAAGAGTGGTCTTTAGCTGGTCCATCAATACAGAATTGAGTCTCAATGATGAAGACGAAGAGGATACGCTGCATTAGGAAAAGTAAAAATGATTAGAAGGCAACTAGAAAAATGAAGATCTCCAAGAGAGACGACTTGGTCCAACTTGCAGATCGATGGCTGGATAAGAATAGTTATAGCAATGAATAAGTGATTTCGTGAGTCAAGATTTGTTCGGAAGAGCAGGAGAAGCACTGGGAAGTCGTGTGTGGCTGCCTAACATATTTAATTCTGTCTTAGGTTGTCCGCATTCACAATCGTGCTTGTAAAAAAAGAGTAATTAAGAATCGGAATGATCCGAAATTTTGAGAACTAAATGCAACATATTTATTTCTCCCCAACCAGGCACTTCCCCAGCCCCATCCTCTAATAAACCTTTTGCATCGCATCGATCGAGCAGGAATAATTTCAAACCCAGTTGAATTGGAAGCAATCAGCAAAGAAAATGGAAAGATTATTGCTGTCAATCATTAATTCGGAGTTTCCCGCATTAAGGGAAGCTGTAATATGCTTGGTTTCCCTCCGATCAGTGCTACTCCTCCGATCAGTGCTACAACTCCGATCAGTGCTACAACAGGCGCCGACCACTATATCATGGGAAAGCAATCCTATTGCGTTTGAAGAACGCGAGGTGTAGGTTCGACTCCTCGATTAATTTATGTTGAGCAAAACAATTTCATCCTTTTTCCAGAAGTAACAAGTTTTTACGTTGAGAAGGTAAATGAACATATTGCAGAGCTCCTTTATTTGTAATGAGGAAAGATGGAATTGGAAGGATGAACTATCCACATTATCTATTACTATGTACGGTATAGTGACATACATACATACATACCTACATCTATTCTATTACAGCTGCACCCGTGCGCATGAAAGCAACGAATACAATAGTCCAATAGCCTCTCTGTCTATTATGTTTAGTAGACGATTCGAGTCCACCTGTGCAAGAATTTCGATAGCGGAGACCAACGAGAAGAACACGAGAATGCCATATGAAGGACATTGTGAATAGTAGGTTGATGATGTGAAAATTGGGAAAGTGGATAATTTAAGAGCGTTGCTTGGAAGTATCGATATAGTGTTGAGGGAAGAGTTGAATCGAAGAAAGTTGGCTTGCAGGGATTGCTAATGTTTATCGGGGCAAAAGAGATTTATTGATACGTAGTTAATTTATTAATTGATATCTTACCAATCCTCAAATATCCAGCGCGCTGCTGAAGCGCTTCTGTTTAGAAAACTTGGTCAAGGAAAACAAAGGCAAATTATTCGATACGTCAACATATCCATATCCTCTTCGAAAATGCAAGCTAGAGCCATATCCGCTTTGCGTTGTTTGGTTCGAGGCTGACGTTGGAAATTTTGACGCGTAAGTGGTTTAGAGCGTTATCACGTGACCCGTACAGGTCAATAGTCCATTCATACTTGCTTCTGTATATAACCATCAGCGTTCCGTTGCCTGACAGGTTGAAGATACAACAAGGAATAGTATACGGTTGGGTTTGTACGTTGGCGAGGAAGAATAAGAAAGCTTGAGGACTGAGTTTGGATGTACCGATTGTGGATCTACAAATTCGGAGAAACAGACAACCAGTTAAACGTCTTGCGAATTCAAGTTAAATCCCATTCCCCATTAACACATGCATTCAACCTGAATCACAAGGTAAAAACGGTTTGCGTTCGGATGAAGGGAGAGTAAAATTAATCGCTACTGCTCTGATAGTCTTCGAATTCTGTTTAAGCTACCGCACCATCAGAAGTGAACGCTGTGTATTTCAGTCAAAGAACAACATCAGGTTTACGTTTGACACCACCGAACGCCTGAATTGTGAGTCAGCCAGGTATATCCAATTGCTAATTAATTAATGCTAGAAGACAATCAATAGTTAACAGATTATTAGTAATCTTAGCTTAATATTAATATTTCCAATTCACTTTCATCATTCTTACCTCTA